ATGTATTTCGTAAGTTTTAATTGATTTTCAATTTTGAGTGAAAATCTCGGTAATTTTTCAACATGAAAATTCGAAAAAAATCAAAGTAGTCAGATAGGATAGACATACATATCAATCGACTCAGTTTTTGATTCTGATTCCGAAAATGATATTTTATTGTTCAAAAGTTGAGTTCTGATCGAGAAAATTGGGAGTTACGGTCAGAATTCCGAGTTTTTCGCCTCTTATTTAGAGAAAATGAATTTTCTCGGCGAAAACTTTTTTTCCTAAAACTCCCTCGTCATTTATAGCGAGCATATAGGGCTATCGAATGGCATAAGGTTCAATGAGTTAGCTGCTTATCAGAAAAACTAGATAGGTTTTTGGTGGAGGGACCTCATTTTTTAGGTCTTTCGGTTTTGAGCTTCGCCAAAGTTTCAGATTACGGTATTTCAATCTGAAATTGGTTGGGCTAGACTCAGTTTTCGACGAGGAATCCAACAAAAACACTTGTTTATAAATGTTGGAAGTCGTTTATGTGACTACTGACGATTTACAACAAATTGACAAAATTTAGAACACCATTACAGAAAGTGGATTTCTTTTTCTGCACAATGGTCATACTCACGTTAAACCATGTATATTATTTTCCTTACATTTAGCAAATATTACTATGACCATAAAGCCAACATCCATCACACTTGAAAGCCTGCTGATGGCAAAACGGCCATTTGAATAGATAATATATGTTTTCATTACTCAGGGGTTATGTTATTACTATTTTGAAGAAAAATCTCGAAATTGGTTCATTATGTGCAGAACAGTTCGTCAATAGATTTCTGCAAAATATTTCTCACAATATTCTGTTAAAAAAATAGATTTTACTAAACCGTTGAGAACTCGTCTAATTAGAACGAGACGGTTCGAAGTAGGCTCAGTGCCTGATAATATTCAAGCATCTCGACGGCACTAATCAAATCTTTTGCGTTTTTTCTTTGTCTCTGCTCCTTGGTGTGGTGAGTTTTAGATAAAAGGATCCTACATAGTAGTATACTCTACTAAAAGTATTTTGTTTTGTAATTTGATCGTATACGTCTTTCAAGTTTTTTCTTCATTTTTCTCATACTTTTCCTTGTTATTTCGTACAGAATAGTGTCAGTCACTAAGATCGCTAACAGGGGTTCGTAACGATCATCTAAGGGACTAATCTCTAGTAGATGCTCTGACAGGGCTTTCGTAACACTCTTTTACACGGCTTTCGTAACGGAGTCTATGTACTTTTATTCCAGATATAAATGATAATGCTGTATTATTACAGGGCTTTCGTAGCGAATGCTACTTCTTATTTGGCTTGTCCACGTAACTCGAGACTTCGCTTATCAAGTTTTTGAAAACATTATTTGAGAGTAGAACTGAAAGGAGCATATCACTAGATGCAGTTTTTGGCACTGATTACGAATCTCATATTATTTTTTTAAAAAGTTAAATTCTGGCACCGAAAATCCAGTTTTACATTTTTTGAAAACTGTATTTTCGATTTGCTCACGTAGACACTTTTCCTAATAAAAATGGAAGGCCACACTAATCGATACACAATTCGAATCTCTACAAGATGGTATGTTTCTTTTGAAGTTTAGACGCAAAGCAAGCGTTTTAATAAAGTTTTCAGTTTTAACATTCTCGCACAATTCTAAGAAAGTGAAAACATTTTTTCAGCTTTATTCTCACTTTAGTCTAAACAAAACAAAATGATAAAAAGCGTTCGGCATTCCTTTACGGTAGCAGAGTTATCTGACCACGCGTAGAGCCAATAGCTGGCGGCTTAACGTGTGCACTACATCAAATGTCAAGTATACTGTATATATTTATAAATATTTAATAACGAACATTATTTGATAGACGGAATTTATTTTCGAGAGAAAACTGGAGGTTCTCTACCGAACCTTTTGCGAGGGTTCGGTGTGAGACGCAAGGAGAGAACCTTAAAAGGTTCTGTCTGTATCCTTATCTTTTTAGAGAGTAGAGTTACAATTTTCAGAAGGATTTTGACTGGTCTTCTTCACGATACTTTCGTTTATACTCATTCATAAATTAGTGTTAATGCAGTTTGTCTTTTCCGAACGAGGACAGACGGCACTAAGTTATACGAATAGTTGAATTCATAATGAGACATGATAATGAAATGAAAAGAACGAAATTGAGAAAATTTCGTCAACCTCATAGTCAACAGTAGAAAAAAGCGTTCTGTAATACTAATAGATGGGGACGCTTGAGAATAACTTTAAATGTTTATTCAAAAAATGTTTAGAGTTCTCGACATTTTGGGATCTGAAAACAGTTTTGCTCGCTTTAGCGGTTTTACTAGAGATGACCCGTAATAAAGTTAAATAGAACAAATACTTTTAATGTGAAGTATATGAAGCATGCACAGAAGTATGAATTTTCGCAATTTCGTTCTTTTCATTTCATTATCATGCCTCATTATGAATTCAACTATTTGTATATTCTCTTACCTTTACGGTATATAGAAAACTGTTTCATATACTTTTTTTGGAGAAGTTTATGGCCCATTTTTTGAGAAAATAGTAAAGCTTATGGAATAAATTCAACTGAGATATGAGCAAAATACTAAGTGACCGATTTCTTCTGAAGCACCCGTTAAACACAGGAACAGCACAACAATCTTTTTTGTCAGAAACTCTTTATTCTGCCTACTACACAAAACAAAACTTCATGTGAACGAATATAAACTTAAAGGTGAAAAACAAGACAATAACCCAGGTAAAAAAACAATAACAACGTGCATGTGTAACGGAAAGAAAGTGAATAAAGTGCAGACAGGAACATATATTATGTCTCTGTAGATGTAACAAAGATCATTTGTACTTTTATCAGGTAAGTGACAATCGCTGGTCGTTCGAGAAAAGTTGATTCTAGGTTTTTACAGTGAATGGATTACAGTAAATACTCCGACCATTTGGTCGTCTGGCTGACTGCGGCCGAACAAACTGACGATCTTTCAATGATTCACTTGTTTCGCATGATCACACAGCCGTTGAATACTATCAACACGCAAGAAGAAGAAATCAATGAACCGATGTTCATCAAAGATGAACTGCTCCAAGAACTTAAACAAACTGCTTATCGTATCGAGGTTTTTCACGACAAAATAGAGTGTCTGTCGTTTGTTCAGGCAAAAAGTGACAAGAAAATATTTTTCATCACTTCGGGCGTGATTGGTAAAGAGATTGTTCCCTATTTGATTCAAGCACAGCAGATCTATAGGATATATATTCTGTGTGGAAGTATCAACTTACATCTCAGTTGGGCAATGGACTACGTAGATGATCTAACAGCTATGTTCGATAATCAAAATGACTTACTTCTACGTCTAACCAAGGATATTGCCGAATATCTGCAGGTTAAAGGCGATATCTATATTGATTATGGTGATGCACCGAAAGCTAAAATGTGTTATATTTGGGCTAAAAAGCTAATGTTACGCATGCGGGAGCCAGACGGACAAACGCTGGATGATTTAGACAAGAAAATAATCAATGCACGGCGTTATCGAACGTTGAATGATACAACTGGAATTAATAAGCGTTGTCCACCGTTGTTTCCACAAACACAACTAAAAGATAAACAGGTGAGGGGAGCGTGAGTGGTAGGAGCAGGAAGCTATATTATAGAAAAGAAACTCTTTTCTGAACTCGCACACTAGGGCCATCTATGCGATCAACTAAATCTTAAGGTTTTCTATTGTCAATCAATAAAAAATAGTCTAACGTTTACCCAATGATGTATTGTGATGATCCACCGTGAAGCTCATCCACATTTCTGTGCTCGAACTGAATGATCTGTGCTTCACATAAACTTTTGTAACAACTTTTCAATGTGATCGTCTGCGGTCTTAAACTTTTGAATTTTGTAATTTTTAACAGAAAGCCGTCTTTCTAATCATCGA